GATATATGATTGAGTATTATGGTTAGCACAGGAGTCAGAATTAAGGTTGCATACAGAAGTGTACTCAGTGGGGGGGAGGGGAGTATGTGGGGATTGTATACCAATGAAGGAATTTTTTTTCTTTTCTTTTTCTTTTCAAAGAGAGGAGCGAACTGGTGGGGAGGGGTGGGCAGGGAGAAAAGTGCAGCAATGAATGAATGGAAATCCAAAATCTCTATAAATGTTTATTAAAATTAATAAAAATGAAAAAACAAACAAAATGTCAAAAAAATATGGATTGAAGCTCAACATCAAGAAAACAATCTCATCACTGGGCCAATTGGTAGCATCAGTATGGATGGTGAAGAGATTGAGATAGTTTTAGTTTGCTTGGCTCCACAGTCAACACACTTGGTAAAATAGCAGTCAGGAAATCAAGAGACGAAATGCATTGGGAAAGAGTACTGAGGAGCAAAGACGTCAGGCTGGAGACTAAGGTGAGCCTGATCTGGGCTATAGTTTTCACAATTGTGTGCTATGCATCAGAGAGCTGGATGGTGCACAGGGATGATAGAAAGAGAATTGATGCCTTTGAGCTGTGGCGCTGGAGAAGAGTGTTGAATATACCATGGATTGCCAGGAGAACAAACAGGTTTGTCCTAGAGAAGGTGAAATCAGCATGCTCCTTGGAGGCAAGGATTCTGAAGCTTTGTCTGACATACTTCAGGCATGCTGCAAGGAGGGACCAATTCTTGAAGAGGGACATCATGTTTCAGAAAATGGAGGGATAGCACAGGAGAGGAAGACCCCCGAGGAGATGGATCGATTCAGTGATTGGGGTGTTGGAACTAAGTGTGTCGGAGACAGTGAGGCTGGCACAGGATAGAGCAGGATTTAGGGCTCTTGTACATGCAAGCAACTCAACAGCACTTAACAACAACAACATAATAGTTAACACTAAGGAAATAAATGTTTCTTGAATAAAAGAGATTAATTCAAATCCCATATTGAAAAATCATCCATGAGTACCTTACAAGTACTCATTCTACTTTACTTTTCTCTTTTTTTTCTCCATTTCTTTTCTTTTCTTTTCTCTATTTTCACTTCCAATATACCTGCATAGTCTGATAAGGGAAACTTTAATATGAGAATTGAAGAATGAAATCTGGTAATTACAAAAAGGCCCAAACATACCCATCAAGGTTCCCTAACCAAATGTTAAATAATCTTACTATTCCCATAGAGTTTAAGAACAGTAAAAGAAACACTCTCTTACCCAGCCTTTGCAACACTTATGGTTTGTTGCTCCATCGCTTCATGGATACTCGTTCTATCATGCTCCTTGAGACTGTTAAACTCATCGATACAGCAAAGTCCTGAATCTGCAAGCACTAATGCTCCAGCCTCCAAGTTCCATTCTCCGGAATCTTTCACAGCAGTTACTGTCAGACCTGAGGAAAACGGAAGTTTATTTCAACTTTTTATTCTCCAAAGTGTATCTTACATCTGTAAGGGGAAGCTATGGCTACATTTTATGGAAAAGCATATAGAGTCAAGTTTCTATTTGTTGTCAATTAAAAATTGAAGGCATCAAAACAAATGTTTCAGGTGTGACCCAGTCACTGAAAGACCTTAGAAGTTTCCATGTGTTACTGACGGAATATTCTGTAGACAAGCCCTCTATGATTTGTCTCTCCTTGGTAGTTGCATTACTTAAAGAGGAAACAGATCTTCGAAGCCCTTATAACAAGAAGTTCTGTATTAAGGTGATTGCAGACAAGTGTCCAAACAACAGAGAACAGTATGAGAAGGGAAAAGTATGCTCTCAGTCACATTATGAGGAACAAACTTGCTCAATCTGGCAAAGGAAATTTTAAAAAGCTATATACTAACATATTTAGTGATGAAAGATGGAGTGATTCTTCTCATCTCCAGTATTAGAACAAGGCAAGGAGATCTGTTCTCATCATTCTTATTAAAAATCATAATGGAGCATCTATCTAGGGAAGAAAGGAAAAGAAAGGACATATAGATTCAAAAGAGTGAAAAATTAGAACTGTTTCCTTTTGCAGTCAAGAGATTATATAGAAAATATAAATAAATTACAAAAAAAGCTACTAGAATAAGTGAATATAGCAAAGTCACAGACTGGAAGTTCATAAGTAAAATAAATATATGTATATACTAGGAGCGAACAATTAGAAGTTAAGATTAGTACAATTTGCAATAGTACTCATACCAATGAAATCTTTTGGGACATAAAATTAAATTAAATTTGCACAAAATCTTATATTAAAACTAGAAAACAATGATGAAAGAAGTCAAAGAAGACTGAGACCTACTCCATATTAACAGATTGAGACTCAAATAGTTAAACTATTAATGCCTCAAAATGCTCTACAGCAGATTCACTACAATTTCAAACAATATTCTTACAAGTTTCACTTTGAAGAAATAAAATTGTTGATTCTAAAATTTGTTATCAGTAGGTAATAGAATGTAAAAGGAACAAGGGCCACATAGAGATGGCCATAATGTGGGACTGTCTCCACCAATGACATCCACACACAGAACGAATTCCCATGTGGTCAGACATGTTCTACATGTTCCCACACCTCCTTCTACTAATTCCAACACCAATTTTACTGCTCTGCTTGTTCTAAGATTTGTTGAGATACCTCAAAGACCAAACAGAACCATATTGAGGAAGTCAAAAGGCTGTAATTCGGGTTGGCAGCAAATACACTCACTCAGTCAGGACAGCTTCTGAAATGTGCTCACATGCACCTAGCCTTCAGCCTCAGAACTTTGGGTCGGTGTTAAAAAACTCTTAGTTTAGCAAAGTATGGGTCTTCCCCACTCCACCCACCCCATCTTCCAACAAACTTGGGCAAAGTCTCTCAGCTCTGATTCGGTGGTGTAGCAGTTCCAAGGTCAACTCTGTCTCGTATCAGGACTCTGCTTCTCTGCTATAGGCACTGCTGCTCTCCTGTCAGTCTGGCTAGTGCAAGAATCTCTGGGTCCAAGGGCGCTCTACATTCTCCTGCTGCTTTTTTTGCTGAGGGTGAGATTCTATAAATCTACTGCTCAATCAACTCTATTTTATTCTATTTTAACCATCTCCTACGGATAGGCTAACATTCTATTAGTATATTCCCTCCTGCCCTCATGGCAAAGTCAAAGTCAATGGCTAGGAAAACCATTTTGAACATTAAACCCTTAACATCACATGGAACTAGAATAGCTAAACCAAAGAATAAAATTGAAGATTCTCTGGTGGCCTAATTGGCTGCTCTGAAGTACTGAAGGTTCAAGGCCACCAGCTGCTTTGTGGAAGGATTGGCAGTCTCCTCCCAAACAATATTGCTTCTGAAAACCCACTGGAGGTCAGCTATGGGTCAGTTCCAACTCTATGGTATATAGCAATAACATGATCCAATATAGAGGTTTCCTATTAAACTAAACAATTCATCATGGGACTAGTTAACACATGGACAGATATTGTTGTTTTAATATGTTGTCAAGTATGATTTATAGTGACCCTATGAACATCAGATCTGAACCCTGTCCTATCCTGTGCCACCTCACAATCTCCGACACACTTAAGCCCTCTGCTGCAGTGACTGTGTCAACCCACCTAGTTGTGGGTTTTCCTCACCTTCACCATTCCGCCCCCTTCCCAAGCATAATGTCCCTCTCCAAAAACAACCTGTCCTAGCAACATGCCCAAATTATGTGAGACAAAGCTTCATCATCATTGCCTCTGGCTATCTTCTCCAAGACATATCTGTTCACTTGGCAGCCCATGGGATCTTCAGCACTCTTCTCTAACACAAGTCAAAGACATCAACTCTTCTTCTGTCATCCTTAGTCACTGTCTAGCTCACATATGCTTAACAAGGGCCTGAAAAACCCATGGTCTGAATCGGGCACACCTTAGTCCTCAAAGTGACAACATTGCTCCTCAATAACTTGGAGGTAACTGACTACACATTTTCCCAGTGCAATACATCTTCTGATTTCCTGACTGCTAGGGCCAAGTGTATTTTGTGGATCCAAGTAAGACGAAGTCATTGACAGTCTCAATCTTTTCTACTTCTGTCATGATATTCTGTTTTCTTGACATTGAGAAGCAATCCATATTGAAGGCTGCATGTTTGAGCTTCTGTGGTTAGTGCTTCAAATCCACCTTACACTCAGCAAGCAAAGTTGTGTTATCTGTATTAACGCAAGTTGTTAATAAGTCGCCTTCCATTCTTGATGTCACATTTCTTTTCATAGACTCCAGCTTCTCAGCATACAGACTGATTTCATATGGAGAAAGGACACAATGCTAACGCACATCTTTTCTAATTTTAAACCACAGAGTGTTCTGTTGTTTTGTTTGGAAAATAGCATCATGGTCTAGAAATAGGTTTTGCATGAACATGATTAAGTGTTCTGGAATTCCCCTTCTTTTCTATGTTAGCCATAATTTGTTATGATCCACACAGTCAAATGCCTCTGCACAGTCAATAAAGCACAAATAGACATTCTTTGATATTCTTTGCTTTCAGCCAGGATCCATCTGACATCAGCAATGGTATATTTGGTGCCATGGCCTCATCGAAGTCCGTCTTGAACATCTGGCAATTGTCTATGTACTCTTATAGCTGTTTTTGAATGATCCTCAGCAGTATTTTGTTTTAATGTGATGTTAGTAATATAGCTTGATCATTTCCATATTTGGTTGGATCACCATTCTTAGGAATGGAAACAAACATGGACCTCTTCCAGGTCCTCCAAATTTTCTAGCATATACTGGTGAGCATGCCCAGGGCTGCATCTGTCATTTGTAACATTTTTACTGGTACCCCACTGATCTTATTTTTTGCCAATGCCTTCAATGCAGCTTGAACCTCTTCCTTCATAACAGAGAATCTAATGCATAGGAAATTTCATGGAGAAAGGTTAATTTGTCCAACAGATAGTATTAGAATAACTGCATCCTTTCCATACCTTTGCAATCTATATGCAGAACAGATCATCTGAGACGCTGGGCTGTATGAGGAGGAATGTGGCATCAGGATTGGAGGAAGATTCCTCAACTACCTGTGTTATGCAGATGAAACAATCCTGCTTGCTGAAACTGAGGATGATCTAAAGCATTTGCTGTAGAAGGTCAAGGACTGTAGCCTTCAATATGGATTGAAGGTCAACATCAAGAAAACAAAGATTCTCACCACTGGGCCAATTGGTAGCATCATTATAGATTGTGAAGAGATTAAGACTGTCAACAGTTTTAGTTTAGTTGGCTCCACAATCCACACTCTTGGTACTAGGTGCCAGAAAATTAAGAGACAAATTGCATTGGGAAAGTCAGCTGCCAGGGACTTCTCCAGAGTACTGAAGAGCAACAATATCAGTCTAGAGACTAAGGTGTGTGTGATCCAGGCCATTGTCTTAGCAATTGCTTGCTATGCGTCAAAGAGCTGGACAATGACTAGGGATGATAGAGAATTGATGACTTTGAGTTGTGGTGCTGGAGAAGAGTGTTGAATATACCATAGGCTGCTAGGAGAACAAACAGGTTCATCCTGGAGAGGGTGAAAACATGTTGATCCTTAGAGGCAAGGATTCTGAAGTTTCGTCTGATATACTTTGGACATGTTACAAGGAGGGACTAGTTCTTGGAGTGGGACATCATGTTTGAAAAGGTGGAGGGACAGAACAGGAGAGGAAGACACCCAATGAGATAGATTGATTCAGTAACTGGGGTAATGGGGGTAAGTTTGTCAGAGACAATAAGGTTGGCACAGGACAGAGCAGGGTTTATGGCTCTTGTACATAGGGTTGCTGTGAGTCACAAGTGACCTGACGACACATAACAACAACAACAACAACATGACTAAAAAAAAACAACACCCCAAATACCACTAAACAACAAAACTTGATCTATACCTCACTTCTAATATAAGAATTAACTAAAATGATCTATCTTCTCAGGCATAATATGAGTAACTGAAAAAAGTGTAGAAGAAAATTGCTATGACTTTTAACCTGGAAAAGACTGCTTATATACTATTAAGTGCTAATATTGGTACTAGTCTCTCTCACTCTCACAGAAAAAAGGCTGGAAGCTGGGTCTCTCACAGGAAACAGGAAAGCAATATAAAGACAATTGTGTGAACTAACTGGGTGATAAGGAATTTGATGGTAGCACTTTTGGTAGAAACTGGTATCACACAAAAGCACAATCTTGCTGAAGATTATCTGGAAACAACTAAAATAGTACATTGACAGAAAACTGCCAGAAACTTAAGTCGGGTTTAGAACAGGTTGAACTAGGGATAAAACTGTCAATGTCAGATGGATCGTGGCTAAAAACAGAGTACCAGAAGAATATCTATTTGTATTTTATCAACAGTGCAAAGGCATTTGACTGTGTAGATCACAGCAAATTATGACTAAC